AGGTGGGGACCACAGTAGTTATGTGAGTCCAAATTTTATTATGTTTTTTGAGTGTTATATATGTTGTTTTATGTTTTGCCACCCTATAAGGGCATAGTTGTCTTTGTACTGTTCTATTATTTTAGTATAAATAATAAGTGAAGGGGGCGGCCAGATTATTGCTCTCTTTTCTTTCAACTTCTCTTCTTCTCCTTCTCTCTTCCTTTTCTCCTTTTTTTTTTGATGAATAAAAATAAACAAATCTCTTCCTTCTCTTCTTTCTTTCATATTTTTTTAATTCAGCAGATTTCTACTGGAACAAGACCCTCAAAGGCTGAAAAAGACAAATGGCCAAGACAGTAGTGACAAAGCAAGATCTGGCTTTATTACAAGGACTCTCATAATGACCCACAAAACTTGTGTATTACTTGACTTGAAAACAGCAACATCATCCAATATATAGAGATCATCAACCACGTGTCCCTTACCAATCACTCTCCCAGAAGTCATATCTTGGAAAACACAAGAATCAGGAAGAAAAAATGTTACACTACAATCCAATGACTTGGTAATACAACTAATAGATAAAGGGTTAGTGGGAAATTTAGGAACATGGTAGACTATAGGTGAACGCCATTTTGTAAGGATGTGCAAAAGCTTATTCACTTCCATGCCATTTGAGAATGGTTTACTTCTTTGTTTGGGTGCGGGTAGACTCCCCCCTTTGAATGTGCAAAGCTTATTCACTTCCATGCCCAACTGCCCAACAAAAAGGGCCAAGATCATGTGGAGATGTGTTAGGGCAGCAGTATGTTGGACTGTTTGGGAGGAGAGAAATTCACGAATTTTTTTAGATAAAGAGAGAAGCTTGGAAGTAATATTGGAGATTATTCACATTAGGGCGACACATTGGTTGAAAACTTTGGAATTGTTTGCAGATTTCTCAGTTGATGAAATGTTAAGGAATTGGAAGGAAATTGCAGAATCAGCTTCAGCTAAGAAAGCATCAAGTCCTTGTTGGACCCCTCCACCTCACGGCCTTATCAAACTGAACTTTGATGGAAGTAGTTTGGGCAACCCAGGGCCCTCTGGAATAGGGGAAGTGATAAGAGATGAGAAAGGGAATCTGTTAGCTATGTATTCTGGTCCAATTGGGATGGGAGATTCCTTAAGGGCTGAGATACTAGGAGCTATTGAAGGGGTACAAAGGGTCAAGGACATGCATATTAATAAATTGATTATAGAAGGTGATTCTGAAATTGTAGTGAACTGGTTAAAAGAGGACAACTCCAAGCTTTGGAACTACAGCAATGAAAAGAGGAAATTTAAGTGGCTGACTAAGGACATTGAAGTCAGTTGTACATGGACAAAGAGAAGTGCAAACTCATTGGCAGATGGTTTAGCTAGGCAAGGGGTGAACAGAAACTCAATTTTTTTGGGCTGTTTTGTAATTGATTTACGGTTTGGCTATACATTGATGTATTAGGGAGTTAAGATTTTTTAGCTCCTTAGCTATGTAATTTCTCAATCTTTAATAAAATTCACTGTTATTGATAAAAAAACACCATTTTGTAAGGATATAGTACTCTGGCCAGCAATGGTAGTGTGAGAACCATCAGCTAGCCTAACTTTGTCCTGACCAAAGTAAACGATATGCTGAAAATAAACTTGGCGTACCAGTCATGAGGTTGGTCACCTCAAAATCAATGATCTAAGGGTTGGGAGATGAAGTAGACAACTAAACACATGGAATGTAGAGGCCTGGTTACCTGAAGTGGACACATGTGAGGTAGGAGTGACAAAGGACTCTTCAAGATGTCAGAAAGTCCTACCATACTCTTCCAACTAATTACGTAAGGAATTTAGCATCCCCTCCCTGTAGTTAGAGCCTGTAAAGATACTCTCCTGAGATGAGTCACCAGAAACTTGCATTGGCTGAACTAGATTTCTTTCCATACTATTGTGGTTGCTTCTTCTGGAAGGAATGGAAGTTCTTTGACTTGCCCACAAGGTCCCAACATATTTCTTTGGTATGTTGAGTTCTACCACAATGAGAACATCTCAACTTATCTTTATCAACAGCTTCAATCCTCTTCATAGCATCACTACCCTTCTTCCGCCACTCCCTTTGGCCAAGAGACCGACTTGCTACCCCCCTCTGGAGGATTCATGGCTAACCTCCTACTCTCCTCAGATTGAACTAAGGAGTGCACTTCCTGAATTGATGGGAGCTCCTTACTCCCTAATATCTTAACTCGAATGGGCTCATAACTAGGATTAAGACCAACCAAGAAAGCAAACATCTGCTGTTGATTTACAAGTCTCTTATAATCCTTTGCATCTTATTCATTTTTCCAGTCAACAGACAGATAATAATCAGGTTCCTTCCACATGGAATTGAGAGAAGAATAATATGATAAACTTTTCTCCCCCCTGTTTGCAAGTGGATGACTCTACGTGAAGCTGGCATATACGAGCATAGTGCCTTTGCTCAGAAAAAGTAGCCTTAGCTTGGTCCCAAATCTCCATTGCCATATCAGCCCACACGAAGTTCTTCCTCAGACTAGGGTGAATAAAGGTCACTAGCCAAGACATGATCAAGTAGTTGTCTTGGTCCCACTTATCACGAACCAAACCAGCCGCCTCCTTAAGTTGAGGAACATCACCAGACAAATACCCAAGCTAACCTCTTGAGCCCATATATAATTTCACACTTTTTGCCCACTCCAAATAATTTAGTTCATCAAGGACAATGATAGCAACAGGAAAACCCCAACTCTCACTGCCTGAACTAGTCATATTTTGGTTCCCAGTAACTTCTGAGACAACTGAATCTTCAGTAGACATTGTCTTTACATAAAACCTAGAAAAACCACAAATCCAGACTTGTTTATCCATTAACAGCACCTACAAGTGGCTAGAAGACACAAAACCTAGAAAAACCTTCAAACACCACCAGTCCAAAAAAGGAAAGAGAGAACACCTCCAGCCGACCCTCACAGTCTGTACGCTGCAAAACAACAGATGTGCAGGGGAAAGAGAACTCCTCAAGCCCCAAAACACCACAATACAGATTGTCAGGTCTGAATTTGGTGTGAGATCCACAAAACAGGGCACAACACACAGCCGAATGGATCTCAAACCTCAACAACAAAAGAACACTGAAGAAACTCCTCAAACTCAAAAACTCATCATACAAAGGGAGAAAACAGCCAAAACAATAACCCTTTTGGTTCTAACCAAAAGGAAAAGAAGAATAACAGAAAACACTTACTTGATCAGTTCTCTTTCAGATTTCGAAATTTCAGTCAAGTCTAGAGGAAACCTGAGTGGGAGGAAAGGAAAAAAAAAGATCCAATCTTCAACTTCTATCAATCCTGCTCTGATACCATCTAGGACAGCAGAGAAGAAGAAAGAATATTTACTGGAAAAGTGTCAGTGGCAGCTGCCTCACTAAGAATATATGTAAACCAGCTTCTAATATAAGCTAACAGAGCAGTCTTTTGGTTGCAACTTAACAAAGAAAAGATAAATAATAACAGTGCAATACGAGCCTAATAGCAGTCCTAACAACACAACCCAACCAAAACCACACATGTTGACCCATTTGAATACTTGAACCCATGTGAATACATCCTTATTAAAAAAACAGACTGAGAAGATATGTGAACCAACTTCTTTCACATAGTTGCCTACCAAAAAAAAAAAGAAAACCTTCCTTCATGTCTTGACCCAAATGGATAACCATAACCCAACCCTTTTTAATTGACCCAATGGGCTGCTCAACCCATTTGAATAATTAAATTTATAAGAATGCATCCTTATTAAAAAGATAAAGAATGAGAAGATATGTAAACCAACCCTTTATGTCTTGACCCAAATGGATAACCATAACCCAACCCTTTTAATTGACTCAATGGGCTGTTCAACCCATATTCCACCCACATCTTAAATGAATGGGTATGGGTGGGTTGTCAGTGGATAGATTGACTCAAATGGATAACCATAACCCAACCCTTTTAATTGACTCAATGGGCTGTTCAACCCATATTCCACCCACATCTTAAATGAATGGGTATGGGTGGGTTGTCAGTGGATAGATTGACTCAAATGGATAACCATAACCCAACCCTTTTAATTGACTCAATGGGCTGTTCAACCCATATTCCACCCACATCTTAAATGAATGGGTATGGGTGGGTTGTCAGTGGATAGATTGGGTCAGAAATAGCCACCCCTGGATTGGAGGGTTATAATGTAACTGAAATCAGATTGTAAAGTTAGGTAGCAGGGGTTAGCCTAACATCTTTGATAATGTAATTTCTGTACACGATATTCTTTTATCCATATGAATAAGTTTCATGGTTACTGATCCAAAAAAAATGGAAACAATATATCGAAGGGAGTCATTGATACCAGACACATGACATAGACCAAGAAATAATAAGATGGATGATATGCCATAAGTGGATTAGATTAAGGTGGCGGGCAACATAAATTTGTCATTGGAACAGGTTAGAGATGATTAAAGAATACTGGCATTTGTAGCTCATCTCTCACCCATCTACCTAATAAGGAGCAAAGGAGTACAGAAGAATGTAGCTTTACACCATACATATAGAACCACATTACCACAATTAACAAGAAAATGTCAATGGCATACCGGCGACATTCCTGACAACCACTTTGTAACTACTGCAATATCTTGACGCCACTCATATTCACATTGCCAGCAGCTGCCATCTCGTACCAGATTGACAGGCCCCTGAATTTGAAAAATTAAATAAATTAAGCTGAGAGAATAAACAAATTAAAAAATCAAGAAAAGAAAGAATCCATTAACATGCCAGAATGAGAGCTTGGATAGAGTGAATTTCTCTTTTCTTTTCCTTTTTCTGTATACATGTAAGGATTAATTACTATGTTAAGATAGGCTAAAAGTTCAGTAAAATAAGGATTGAGAAATAAAACTATATTCTAAAGTTAAAATTAAGTGGAGCATCAGGAACTGTAAAACATGATTTATATACTTAAAATTGAAATAAGTTGAACCAGCATTAAAACCATAAAAAACAATAAATGAACAAGGTGATTTTGTAAAGATGAAAAGAAAGAGCAACCTTGACTTACTTGAGAGGGCTGAGTCCAGATAGTTATCCTCCCATGAAAATTGGCAATTAGTAAAGCACGAGGGCAAGAAGCTGGGGACCATTCAATAAACTGAACCGAATCGCGTGGAGAATCTGCCAAATGTAACCCATGCAACTAATAACGATATCAAAGCCCATTCTGGAAGCAAAAGTAGTATGGTACAGGAAAAAATAAGTAAATAAATATAAGTACTGCACCTTATACCATGGTGTAGAAGCTGATACCGGTTTCACAAAGGAAGAGAGGAAGCTCCTCTGACAGATTTGCAGAGTTTAGAATGATACACGCAAAAAGAGAGATAATAGGTAGAGTGCCCTCTATCTACTCAACCCATTTGGAATAATATGTATACTAGCGGAGGGGCCCTACTTCGCAGGGGTTGGAATGGAACCGTCGATCCATCGACCCGTTGACCCAGTCCTTGGCCAAAAATCGTTGAATCGGTCAATGACCCATTGACCTAAACAGTCGAACCATTGACCCGTTGATCTGTTCAATGGTTTTTGGCTATTTTTTATTTTTTTAATCGGCCATCCAGGCAACCGGTTCCGTTTTATCCTAATCTCGGTCCATAGCCAAAAATCGTTGAATCGGTCAACAACCCATTGACCCGAGCGGTGAAACCATTGACCCGTTTAATGGTTTTTGGTCGTTTTTTTATTTTTTTAATTTCTATTATCAGAGCGGGCCATCCGCTTGAACTGAATAGTCGAACCGTTGACCCGAAAACTGGTGGCCATAACGGTTCTGTTTTCAGGTTGTATAAGTCACACGCTCAAATGACATAACACGTATAGTAATGCTTAATGGACCTCACACACTCAATTTTTTGCATGTAATTTTTGTTCTTAAAATGGGTCGTCCGTTTTTTTTTATTTTTTTAATTGGAAACTGTCCAAGCAACCAGTTCCGTTTTACCCCAATCCTAGTCCTTGGCCAAACCATTGAATTGGTCAATGACCCATTGACCTGAGTGGTCGAACCATCAACCCATTGACCCGTTTTTTTTGGCTTTTCTTTTATTTTTTTAATTTTTGTTGTCAGAACGGGTCGTCCGTTCGAATCGAACGGTCAAATCGTCGACCCAAAAACCAGTGACCGGAACGGTTCCATTTTTGGGTCGTATGAGTCACACGCTCAAATGACATAACATGTACAATACTGCTCAATGGACCTCACACACTCAATTTTTTGCTTGTAAGTTTTGTTGTCAGAACGGATTGTCCGTTCGAACTGGACGATCAAACCGCCAACCTAAAAACCGGTGGCCAAAACGGTTACGTAAACTTTTGCTTATAATTTTTTGTTGTCAGAACGGGCCGTCCGTTCGAACCGAACGGTCGAGCCATTGATCCAAAAACCGGTGGCCAAAACGGTTCCGTTTTGGGGTCGTATGAGTCACACGCTCAAATGACATAACAACACATATGATACTACTTAATGGACCTCACAAACTCAATTTTTTGCCTATAATTTTTGTTGACAGAACAGACTATCCATTCAAACCGGATGATCGAACCGTCGACCCGAAAATCGGTGGCCATAATGGTTTTGTAATTTTTTGCTTGTAATTTTTGTTGTCAGAACGGACCCTCCGTTCAAACCGAACGGTCGAACCGTCGGTTGTCAAAACATTATTAATAACATTTATCAATAATAGTAAGTAATTATACTATTTAACTAAATAATCATTAATGATAGTTTTAATAATATTATTTAGTAATTTTTAATATAACAGTAATTATTAAATTTATGAAGAGGATTTATTAACAATATTCATTAAATTAATAATTACCAAAATTAAATTAAATTAACAGTATTTATTAGTAATAGTCAGTAATTATAGTATTTTATTAAATAATCAATAACAATACTTTTAATAACATTTTTAAATATTTTGAATATAACAATAATTACTATATTTATTAACAGTATTTATAATTTTAATTTAAAGTAAAATTTAAGTAAATATCTATTTATTAACAATATTTATAATAACAGTAATTATTAATTATAATCACTAATTATATATTTATTAAATTACTGTAATAATCAGTAATTATTATTACAGTAATTAATTAGTAATTATTGTTATTAATTAGTAATTAATTAGGTACTGTAATAATCAGTAATTATATAATTACACTATTAATTACTGTAATAATTAGTAATTATTGTTATTAATTAGTAATTACTGTTATTAATTAGTAATTACTGTTATTAATTAATAATTAATTAGTAATTATTTACTGTTATTAATTAGTAATTATTTACTGTAATTAATTATTGGAAATGGGTGCATGTTATTACACTATTAATTACTGTAATTAATTAATAATTATTGTTATTAGTTAGTAATTAATTAGTATTACTGTTATTAATTAATAATTAATTAGTAATTAATTACTGGAAATGGGTGCTCGCACGTGGGATCTACTCGCACGAGTAGATTCCATTTCCTGAGTGCAGAGAGCACCCATTCCGTAATAAGTATATATATAGATATCGTATTATAACTAAGGCTCTTTTGAGAAAGAAACACTAACTTGTGGAATAAAAATCTTGATTGGATAAGATTTCATTCATTCTCTTGCTCATGCAATGCAGATTTACAACTGTTCATAACCAACCAGTGCATGCCTGCATGGTTGTTTTTCTTGGTAATCTGTTGTACACTTACTGTAAGTCATATGACGGGTTCCTGTTTGTCTGTGCATGATGAAAAAGGAAAAACACACACACACACACAAAGAAATACAAAACAAGATACTATGACCTTGCAATCTGGATTTATATAGCAGCAACTATTTAATTGGAATGCAAGGAGAATAAGAAATGAAAGCAAACCTATAACAGCTACAACAATATCACAAGCAACTGCTGTATATTCCCATTGATACACAACTTACAAAATAGTACCATTGTCTGGTTACCTACAGTATCTGGTCTCACTGGGCTTATCTATTCAAGATGGAGCTGGTGCTTCCAGAGGACATTGGTGCTTTGATGTTGTCATGGCCAGTCAACCCTTCTAGCAAGAGGGGTACCATCCTGTCAAGGTCCTATTTGTGATATGCTGATCCATCTGTTGGAGTGGAATGAAAGAATCTTTACAGGGAAAGCTGAACCTAAGGAATACTTGATAGGCAAAATGGAGAAATTCTTTAAAAGATGGGCTTGTATCCAGAAGTTCTCCTCCATCAAACAGTCTCATTTCTCCTCTCATTGGGAGAGGATTCTTTTTTACCCAAATTTCATTAGCTAACCTTTGGTTGTAAGGATAATGTCCATAATTTTTTGGGAATATGGATAGATGCTTTTGTACTGCTTTTTGAGGGAAGCTCTCCCTTGCTTTCAGAAATACAACTTTTATTAAAAAAAAGTACCATTTGGCCATGTGATGACAATCCAATAGATAATATGTAGCTCAGACTCTAAATCATAGTCATGATTGCAATAAGCTTAGTATCAACTTTTCCATCACTGAATAATTATGCTACAAAATTCTCATTATGTCACACTACACACCTGCCATGATATTCAGCATCACACATTACGCACCTGCTATGACATTGAATACTGCACATTCTGTAGGTCGCTCAGGGTTCACAATGTGTATGGGGATCCAGAATGGAGGGTTTGCATTAGAACTACAAAAGAAAAAGAAAAGAAATGAGGGAACTTTTTTTATCAGTGCTGAGATGTAGAATGAAAAGGGAAAAAACAAAGGAAAGCTTACTCTTCTTTTGTCCTATTTTTTTATTTTTGCTTGGATACTATTAAAAAAAACAGCATTAGAACACTATCACAAACCCAAACATTGGATTTAAACCATCAAAAATATCATTTCCTTTTCAGTTTTCCCTCAAATTTGTTAAGAATCCACTTTTGCGTCACATTTTTCCTACCTACATCCCTCTTGTTTTGTTATTGTTTAGTAATCATCATATTAGCATCATCACGTATTGCCAAAGGCAAAGCCAGGATTCTTCATTTGTGTGGACACTATAAATCTTAAAAATTTTGGGGAGAGCAGTCTATTAGAAAGTAGGGAGGGGGCACCTCTTATCATCTCCAATGCATATAAAGAATGTTTAAATACTTTGGGAATTGGGGGGATATGGCCCATTACAGTAATTTAAAAGGCACACCTAGGTGCACAGGCAAAGCACATTTTAGGGTATGCACCTCGCCTAGGACCTAGGTGCAGTACTTTCAAAAGGCGAGCTCCTGATGCACCTACTGCACCTTGCACTACAGCCCAGGTGCCTTTTGAAAATCTATGCATTTTTTCTTTTTTTTTTTGCTAGTGTTTCTCATTCATTTATCCTAATAAAAGATATTTTTTAAAAGACACTTAAGTTATAAAACATTTTTATAGGGATTAAGAATTTAAAACCCTAGCATGGACTTGTTTGGACTTGCCTTGAGGGTCTTGGTACAAAGGTGGCTCGTAGAATCAGGAATGCATAATGTTTAACATCACATTATCTATTTGAAGTAATGCAATTGGGAAAAGATAAAGTGGTTAAGAGTTTATGTGCTTGAAAATGTTTTATAAGTTATGCTTGATTTTATTTTTAAAATTTTCATTTTAAATGTGTTTTACATATTATCTTTATGTATTTTAATTTGAGATAATGTTTACATATTTTCCACCACCATCATGGCATTTCTTTTTGTTAGACAGTGTATGCCCTCAGCTCCAATCAGAATGATGTACATTATGACATTTATTGTAAATGAATAAAGTACATGTTTGATTCATGTTATTATGGTGTGTTTCTGTGTAATACCCTTAAACTGGACACATATGAGACTCGTGTTAGTTTAGAATCTTCACAGCCGTTGGATAGATCTGGGAGATTTATCCATATGATGGATCTCTCATCCCTTTAGTGGTATCAGAGTCAGGTTCAAGTCTTGAACCAAAAAAAATAGATCAGATCTGAACCTGCGCAAATGGGCAGAAGGGGTTCTACCCGATTTGCGCAGATAATTGATATTCTGGGAAATCGGTTCCCAAATTAAGGGTTGTTGACCTGAAATTAAATCTTTATATATCTGAATTATATTTAGAATGGTTCTTTATATTTTTCTTGATTTATGGGTTGTTCGTAAGGTGGAGATCGAAGTCTTTATTGGCACAGGAAATCTGCGCTTTTGCAGTTCTTTTACTTTTGGTCTGTAATTATTTTTTTTTTAATTTCTAGACTGAATGTATATGAATTCGATTTGATGTAATATTAATAGAAAATTAGGGTTTTTCTATTTTATTTTATCAAGATTGAAGCTGGTTGCGCAGAAGGTGGAGATTTCGCAGATTGAGAATTCGCTATCTGCGATTTGTAGTTTGTGAAACTACAAACTGTGATTTAACATCTGTTTTGCAGGTAGCAGATGTGCGAAAAGCCCTAGTACTGATTCATAAGCAAATTAGAGTGAATTAATTCTTGAATTAAAAATCAAACCCTGGACCCATTCGAACCAGATTGGACCAAACTGGTTGGACTGAATATGTGGTTCGATGGGGGTTGTTCTCAGCCCTAATTTCCCACTCTTGGGTCAAGAGATTGATATTTAATTGCAAGACCTAATTCGGCCCACACCTGTAAAGCCCAGTTTTTAAGTGTTAAAACTGCTTAAGCCCACTACCTGCATAAAAGCTATATGGGCCGAACTGCTCTTTGCTATTCAGCCCATATACCTAGATAATGTTAATCAGTAATATTATGGATCATTATGGGCTTTGATGATGGGCTTTACAGATATTAATTGATTGGATCAATTCTATCCCTGCATGTGATGTATGGATGTGTGATGTGCAACGTTCATGGGCCATAAGTACTTGGCCTATGTTGATACGATAGTGGCTCTTGCGCACACCATGGCTGAATGCACATCATTGCCATGGTGTCCTTAAGATCATTGGATGATCCTCCCTTTGTGGTGGGCCCCACACCTCCCCTAAAGAGGAGCCATGCGGAACCCTAGCCGTTTAAGGCCCACCTAAATCTGGTTTTATGAAAGCCAGTGGGAGCCACTTTGGTTTGACCTAAATTAAATTAGGGCATAACTTTTGTTCCCTCCTAAAATATAAGTGCATGTAATAGGGAGATTCATGTGATGAACTCTCTAAAGGCCTTCCGTCATTAGCATGAAGATGGGTCCTTCAGTAATGAGGAAATGAACCATAAAATTGGGCTATCCATTTGCTGTTGGATCTGTTGAAATGTTTCATAAGATAATAGAGGCGTCATAGACCGATATGGGAGGGGCCTATCCTAAAATGAAAGACTCTCTCACGGTACCTTGGCGTTCACGAATATGATGGGTGAGCACTCACTGGACAGAAAGGTTTAACCTAAAATGGCAATGAACCTTGTCTGACAGAGGCCAAAGGGAAAGCGCATACGATGAGTGGATATGATCGTTCACAGAAAGGTGGTGGGGTTATGCAGGTGAAACAGTGGCTCCATGCACCCTATGTGATTTCCCACATTTCCAGAGACGTAATTCGTAGTCTCCGTCACTGAGATAGGAGGGAAATCTCAGAGATAAACAAATGAGAATGGAACATAGATTAAAAGTCATATCTATGTAGATAACATGAACCAAATTAGGTTGTGGACTAATGTTTGTTTTTTATCAAAAATGGCAAACGGACAATTCGCTAAGCTGTTGGACGACAACAAACTTAAAGGACCTAACTATGCTGACTAGTACCGTAATCTTATGTTGGTCCTAACCTCTGAAAAATTAGACAAAGTAGCTAAGAATCCTGCCTTGGAGCGTCCGGGTGATAGGGCTTCTGAGGCCCGAAGGAGGGACTACCAAGAATGGGAAGAGAAGAATTCCCTAGCCCGCTGCTACATCATTGCCTCCTTAGATAATCCGATACAGAAGCAATTCGATCAGATCGAATTGTCAAATGACATATTGGATAGTCTAAGGACGATGTATGAGGAGCAGAATTGTTCTACTCATCAGAATGTCCTAAAACAGTTCATGACCGCGCAGATGTCCAAGAACCAGTAGGTTCATGACCATTGTCTTTGGATGATGGGTTACATCAATGAACTTGAGGCTCTTGGATCCGGGCTTGACCATGTCACGAAGGTAGACGCCATCCTGAATTCTCTGCCTCCTTCCTTCAATCAGTTCATCATGAACTATAACATGAACAAGCTGAATGTCAGCATCCAAGAATTCAGCAATATGTTGCAGAGGGTTGAATAACTGATAAAGAAGGATAAAACCATAGCCATGCTTGTCGAATCTGGCAAATCGGGCAAGAAGAAGAGAATGGCTAAGAGAAAGCCCCAGAAGAAGGCTGCCAAGTCTAAGAGGCAGAAGAAGGACAGAGCATCAAATGCTTGTCACTTTTGCAAGCAGACCGGCCACTGGAAGAGGAATTATCCTCAGTACCTGAAATCCAAGAAACAAGGTAATTTCGAATCCTGTGTCATAAAAATCAATTTGTTGATAACTTCTGCTTCCTGGTGTATTGACTCTGGGGCTTCAACTCATGCGTGTAACTCACTGCAGGGGTTCAGGATAAGTAGAAGACTGAGTGACAGAGAAGTAACTCTTTACTTGGGGACTTCTGCAAGTGTTGCAGCGACGGCTATAGGAACCGTAGAGTTATTTTTCAGAGAATGATCTATTGTACTAAAAGATTGTCTTTATGTACAAAATTTGAGAAGAAATTTGATTTCTTCTCAAATTTGTGCGGATGGATATTCTATTCTTTTTGGTTCTTGCTGAAGAACCACCTGTTGATTCTACTCCACCCTACGCTGTGTCATCTTCAGTGGAGCAGTCTTTGGCATTTTCTTTGGGCGTGAACACTTTCGTTAGGAGTTACTGCTACTCCGTATCAAGTACATCCCTCTCCTACCTTTGGTTTCAGATCTGGTCCGGTTTAGAGTTCAAGATTGATCCTTGAAAATGTAATTTTCTAAAACAGGGAATGTAATTCCCATATGGGAGAGAGAGAAATTTTGAAATTTCGCCCTACCTACCTATAGGGTTCGACTATCCATATGATGGACCTCTCATCCTTTCACTTTCACCACAGCAGTGTTAGTGCAACAAAGAAGAATAGCAATCAGTGGAAAATGTAGCTTTCTTGGCTTAAATTCTATTTCTTAAGTTCTATTTTGTTTTCAAAGTATTCTCCATATTTATCAGTACCCTATTTCAATATGATTTTGCGTCTAACTATCACATACTAAAATACATACATCTACTATACTGAAATGTCAATTGCATGATTTAAGAACAAAAGCATGTTCTTACTTAAAAAAAAAATCCTTCCCAGAAAAACAAGCAACAGTGCCATTCGATATGATGAGATAGGCAAACCTTGGAATTCTTGCACAAGTCTCTGAGGCACATGCTATAATGTTCAGCTTCCCACACCAAGAAACGGAACTAACAAACACAAGAGAAATAGGAAAATATAAGTTCTTTTTAATTGATTCTTAGAAAAGGAAAAAAAAAATTAAATGCAAAACCAGCAACCATAAGCAAAAGAAGAATCATACCACTTGGTGGGGGGGGGAGAGAGAGAGAGGTATAAAAGAATAGAATAGAAAATATTATAAAAAACTAAACGCAGAACAAACAATTCAGCAATCAAACTTAGGACACAGTACAGATTATTAGTAACATATAGAGAATATAAAGTTCCGGGAAAAAAATGCAAACACTTCAGTAAATCCATGGACTTGGATTTAATGCAATTTCCTCTGGATATAACCATTGCCCACTGGAATCTTATGTACGGCATTAAAAGAAAAAGAAAACTCAAAAAGAAAAAGGAAAACATTCAAGGTTCAAGTCGGAAAAGAGAATTCTCTTCCAGCAAACCCACAAACCGGGAATTAGCACAGAACATTACCAATTCAAGCAACACTAGTAAAATGAAGTGCTGCAGACTATAGCTCAACAGGTTCAATTACAACCAACACAAATTCAACAGATAAAGCAAGGAAAAATTATACCTGAAATTACGACATAGCTCGGGAACACTCATTTTGTGGCGCAAATTGGAATTAGGCTGCTTAAGTCTGATGCGGAAGACGGTAGGCGGAGAGGCGGAGTCCTCTTCCATCGGGTCGTCTCTCTTGTCCACGGCCTCCTCCTCTACGTTGTCAGCAGCTTCAGCTCTATCAGAAGCCCTAGAAGCCTCGAGGACAGTTGTATCAGAGACAGCCCCTTCTTCGGAGTCTTTGACAACCGAGGCGGAATTCATTTGAAGACAAACGAACACCAATTAATAAATAGACACAAAGCGGGTAAGAGAGAGAAAGGAAGGTGAAACAAGTGTTGGAAAGTCGTGATTGAGGGCGACAGGAATCACTGTAGAGAGAGAGGATCTTTGGTGGGGCTAGCGTGAAAGACCCTTTCCCTCTTTCTCTCTCTCTCCCCCCCCACCCCCTCTTTCTCTCTCTAACACTAAACCCGGAAGGCGGTGAACTAGGGTTTGCGTGTTGCGATGTGGTGGGCGCTTGGAGACAATGGAGAGATTCCAGGTGTTGGGATTCTTGGTTCCATTAATGTCCTCTCCCTGTCAACGTCTTTGATTTTTGGCTTTTAAACCCTACTGCATTCGCGATCCGTATTCATTGGTTGGTTGGTTCGGTTGATTGGTGGTCGCTGGTTTGCCTTTTCTACTCTAGGTTTTTGAAATAATAAAATTTTTCTTTTTAAATGGCGGAAAGGAGGAAAGCAGACGACGAGACTGGAGACGTCAGCGCGAGAGAAGTGAGTGGTCAAGTGGGAAACTCTGCTTTTCAGTTTTGTCCGTGCCTTTTATCGAGACCGGCCGGCGTCGAGTTTTAGTTAATCCTTAATCGACGGCGGGGAAGATTAAAGAGATCATCCAGAGTGGATAATGTGCTAATCTGCGCCGTATGTGCTATGCACACCAATAGGAAAAGACCAAAAAAGACCACGACAATAACCTGCTGATGAAACAGGGGCAGGTTTGCACCTGGCAGCTGGGTGACGGCCAAAAACTCGGTCCCATGTAGAAGTTCCAATGTTTCAACTGTCGATCACATGAAACCTCTGCCGATGGGAGAAAAAAAAAGGCCTTTGCTTTTCTTCACCGTTTGTTCCAGTGTAAAAAAAGACGCAAATTTTCTGAGCATTGAACAGAAAACAAATGCAATCTAGTACTGCATTTGGGCCCAAACTTGGACAAAGGAAACTACAACTTAATGGAGTCCCTACCCAAATCACAAGCTTGAGAGTCCATTACTGCTCGCCCGTGATGCATTAGTTATACCTTAAAATTGTTGGCCTTTGACCTTTAAGGTTGCTAGGTTATATCCCCTTTTTTATTTTAATTTTCATTTGTCACATCTCACCATGGCAATTCAAGATCACGATGGTGATTCAAGAAATATCATTTTTGACGATTTAATATCACTCCCTCTCATGAAAATCCAAGGTATAATTATTACAAGTAACAATCCTTTTTCAAAAAAACAAGGTATTTACTCCCTCCAAACTAAGCCTTGATAAAAAATGAACCAATGAAACCTAATTAAAAGTTAGCCTAATTGGTGGCTTAAGGTCAATATTAATGAATACAGCATAATTGAACCATACAATTTATGACATTTCCATTTTAGTGATGCAAAGTAGTAAAACAGCATGCATGCGAACACATCAATGCTGAATAGAACTATGGTTGGAATTATATATGAAGAAAAATATCAACGGTGACGTATTGTCTTCAAGACAATCTTGTTGCCTGCTAGGCAAGAGCAAAGCAAAAGGCTAAAAAAGTCCTGACGATTTGTTTCTCCTTATCGTCTCACTCAACTGCTCAAGCACAGACGCCAGCCTAAAATTCCAACCACTTCAGAAAGGGAAGCCATCATGAATCACCGTAAAAGGCCAAGGACTTGTTTGTTTGTTAATGTGAATCCCACCAGAGATGCTACGGAATGTCCAACAAAATGCTTTATAATTAATTAATTAGTGGGGATCCGTGCAATGCATGGAATTTATCAAGGAAAGAAAGAATGTAATGTTATTTAAAATAATTAAATCTTTATTTTAATAATTTGTTACAAAAATGTTTTATTAATTCAGTATCTTAGTCATTTGAATTAATTATATTAATCTTTTTTAACAAAAATAAATAAATTATTGCTAATTACTTAATAATAATTATTTTCCATAGCATTTGTTAGTGTTTTATTTTATTTATTTTACTTTATTAATGATTAAATGTTTCAATTGTTTGTAAATATCACTTAAATATTTAAAATACCTAAATATCAGTAAATATATAAGATTAAGCTATAGTCATGACTAAATTAATATATAATTAACTTTTTTAGTCATAATTAAATTAATCTAAGCCCAAACTTAAGGTTTAAGACTTTTGATTAGACTTGGATTGATCCTCATTCTGACCCAATACACCCAAATTGTATGCATCGTAATATTCGTAATTAGATTGAACCAAACCATGTGAAACCCATGCATGCATTATTTTTTAGTTTTTTTAATTATTTTTAGATAATATTAAAGCTAAAGTAGCTATGAAGGACGGGTTACCCCCATTGTGTAGCCCAATGAACCAAAAAAAATAAAAATCTTAGGCTAAATATTAATAGTGCATTAGTAGTTTTTAAGGTTGCCTAGCCTAGCCCAGCCCACACCTTAAGTGTAATGATATTTGTCTAGGGTTAAATCCACATCCAATCGTTCAGGGGTCTGATTCTCAGGTCAAACGGTCCGACCTTTTGAACCGAGTGGATGACCCATTCTAACAAAAAAAATACAAAAAAAAAAAACAACCAAAAACCATTGGGCAGTTCAACCGCCTAGGTCAACGGTTTGCTAACTAATTCAATGGTTTTTTGCCAAAAGACGGTTCTGGGGTAAAATGGAATTGGTTAGGTGACCGTTTTCTAGTTTGTTCTAGTCCAACCATCCGGTCCAGTCCGGTTTTGAAAACATTGTGTAGTATAGTTATTGTATACACATAGATATTAACATATGCAAATTCCAACATAATAATAATAATAATTATTATTATTATTATTATTAATTAATGAATCAATTTTTGGTGATGTATCAATTTTTTGTGCTAAGTACCTCGCCATTTGGTCTTCTTCCAAGTGGTCGATGACTCAGAGGCCGAAGTGAACTTTTGCTGGATGAGGACCTAGATGCCGAGCTGGGGGCAGATTAGGTACCGAGTTAACTGGGCCGAGCTGGGCAGGTTAGGTGTCGAACTGACTGGGCCAAGCTAGGTAGGTTAGGTGACGAGCTGACTAGGCCAAGCTAGGCAGGTTAGGCGACGAGCTGACCAGAGTGTCGAGCTAACCAGAGTGTTAGGATATTCATGCCGAATTTGTCGGCAAGCACGTCTCGCAGGTCGCCAGGTCGGCGCCTATGCCAGGCCGCCAGGTCGATGCCTGTGCTAGGCCGCCAGGTCGCGCCTGGGCCAAGCCGCCAGGACGCGCTTGGGGCAGGCCGCCAGTTTGCGCTTGGGCCAGGCCGTTAGGTGGGACACCATCAATTTGGCTAAGGCAAGTTGTTGCCTAAGTGGTTCTGGGTGTCACCTAGTTGTTCCGAGGTGCCATGTGTCACAATATCATTGGAGGGCCAAATCCACCCTCATCAATAATAATAATAATAGTAGTAGTAGTAGTAGTAATAATAATAATAATAATAATAATAATACTAATAATAATCATATGTGGATGCAAATCTAGAAGTTTCATAATTGGATGTTGATGTGAATGTAACTGGATTTGATTTGAATATAATCCGTTTACAACCCTACTACCCACATTATGTGAGGGTTTGGTGCATCTTTGAACTATACCTAACTAAAAAAAAAAAGTTGTTTGAGCATCTAAATTTATAGATCTAACCAAGTTAGGCTAAGTTTATATAAGATTTGTTACTTTTATTATTAATTGTAATTATCCTATCAATACTAATTTTTATTAATTTTATATCCTTATTCTTATTACCTGCATTATTTGCTTTAGCCCAAGGTTGGGCTAAGTTATAAATGGTCATCCCTAAGTAGGAGTCTTATGTCATAATTAATTATTATTATTACTTTTTTAAATTATCCTAACTTTTTATTATTGATTGTTTACTTTTTATTATTAATTTTAATTTTCTTATTAATATTAATTATATTTGTTAAGTTTTTATTAATTAAAGTTATTTAGTTTCAAATTATTATTATTATTATTATTATTATTATGTAGATAAACCATAACCATTTTCGAAAATGGGTCAATATAGACCCATTTAACTTGTCTTCTTTGTCTTAGTGATAAAATGGGTTCCACATTTTAAATTTTCATTAAAACTTATAAGTCTCTTGTGATAGGCACTATGCATAGTAAGTCTCAACTCATAAAATTATTAATTTTAGTAATAATATTAATTAATTAAAAATACATTAATACAAAGTCATATAATAAAATAAAAAGAATAAACAAAACAAAATACAACATTAGACCATGGGTTCTATCAAACCAATGTTTAAATCATAATATTATTAAAACTATTAATTAACATTTTTGTATTTAAATTTATCAAACCCATGTTTAATTGGAAGTCTAGTGGATTTTTAAATTAATAATTTTTTTTTAAATAATGTTTTTAATTTTGTTGTTTTATGTTTGGTTGCTTAACCTCAACCTACTTATTATTTGATTTATTAATATTTTACTTTGTTATGTTGTATTACTATTTCCCCCCTCTTTCTCTCAAATGTCTTTTTTAAATGTAATACTAACATGCATTAAAATAAGAGGCTTTGGAAAACCCAAATCTCTCTCTCTCTCATTATAATAGTGTACAACTTTATTGATCTAATCAAAATAGACAATGAGAACTTTTTTATTTATATTTTAAAATAAAAGAAAATAGAAAATGTAAAAAATTAAGAAAAATAGATAAATAGCTTCTCTCAAAGGAGAAACATGTTGACATGGACCATCCAATTTTATTATATATATATATATATAGACTAGCGGGGACCCATGCGATGCATGGGAAAATCTAAAAGATTTAATAATTTTATTTACTATTAATTAATAATCAAAATTTGTTGTTAATTAACTAAAAGTATTCAAAGTTATTGTTAATATCTAAATTTTTAAAAATATTTTTTCATTTAATATTGATTTATAGAAAATAATTATTATTAATTTAAAATGAACAAATATTTTTTAATAAATTTAGTTTATTAATAATTTGTAGTAATTTTAATAAATGTTATTATTTTTATTAATTTTAAATAAATTTTGATTAACTTTAAATAAATAAAAATAATTACAAAAGCTAGCATTTTTATTAATTTCACTAATAATTAACATTATATAAGAATGGCAACGGGGTGGTTTCAGGGAAGGGCACTCCATCCCTGTCCTTGCCCATAGTCAAGACACTCTACTTCATCCTTGCCCTGTCCCTAGTGTCAGGTGGGTTCAAGTAGAGGTGTAAATCGGGTTGTGCCGGGCCAGCACGACACGACCCACAAGCGACATGCACAAAGTGCGGGTCATGTTGTGCTAGTCCATAGGGTGTCTTGGCCGTGCCTCCCTCCCTTGGGATAATTTGGGGGGGTCGATTCAGCACGACCCACTACTCAAGCCCGCACAAGCCCGTTCCATGCCTTGGGCCAAGCCAGGCCACGGACCAAGCCAAGCTATGAGAGGTCCATTTACATATGAGTATTTTTCAATAATTTTCAGTATTTTCAACATTTATTTTTGCATATTAGTCACTACAAAATTGATTTGCACTGCTTTCAATAA